AATATATTATAATAATAATAATAATAATAATATACATACTAATATACATAATACACACACACACACACACACACACACACACACACATAAATACATATACAAACACACACACACACACACATATATATAGACATATGCATGAATATCATCTCTCTCGAAGGATCAATTGCCTACAGTCATATCGCACATATCACATGACCAGCTACATCAGTTTGCCTGATGCCTGTAGTTCCACATACCTTCGTCTCGTTTCGGCTGAATTGACCAGCACAATGGTGTTGTTGAACAAATGATGACCTGATACCATTGCTCGCCTCACGCCCCCGTCTTGTGCCGATACCCAAAAATGATCCGCTCCAGGTTCATGGGCGATCTGTGCGCGGTAGGTAGTACAGTTTCAGTACCACTACAAAAGTTCAGGTTCTCAATACAGCACGGAGGACGAACGGGCCCAGCATATGATAAATTTAACATCTGATTGTAGTATATTCTAACGCACAATAATATTGCACACAAAACACAGCTAGCAACTGGCATTAAATGCAGAGAATTCACACAATTAAACTTCCACTGCTCAATTCGGCCATAGTCCGACTTTTTAAGGCAGAATTATTTGAAATTACGCGCACTGGCTCTGGCTATTTGCCGTTTTGATCCAAAAAGACATGAAGAATAGAAAAGGTGTTTTATTCATTTTTTTTGGCTGTCTGTATATGTATGATATTCTATTCTGGTATTAACAATGGCAAACGTCAAACAACATTTCAATGCAGGTCTTTAACTTGTAAACCGCATCCTTGGACAAAAAGCACAAAATACTCCTTTATCTTAAGAAGCATATTGAAGGCATAGTGTTCCGTTTCCAGTATCAAACCGTTCGTTACCTCCAGGTTTCAAGAAAGGAGTTTCTAAAACGTGCCATCAGCTACACAAAACGCTAATAGCTTTTGCTGTAAACACACGACAGATCCATAAAATCCGAAAACACCACGAATACTCACAGCGTTGTTTACGTACGAACACACCTTCGGGTTCTTGTAGTACGGAAATTGGGTTGAGATGTATTGGTATGCCGCGATCATGTATTGTCCTATGAGGTCTTTGCCCATTTGATAGTTTTTAGCATCACCAACCCCACGCTGCTCCGCATCAAATCTGGGACAAACATGGTCCAACGAGAAACTGAATCGGTATATCAGCTGGATTGTCATTGATTTTTGGCTTTCTAGTTGGTTACTACGGATTTTTGGTTGGTCTTGGTATCCCCCATCAGCCCAGACACTCAATCAGCCTGATGATGCTTATGCGAGTTCAAGTGACGGATGTACCAATGTTCCGTTTGAAAGAGTCCAACATGTTCGATTTAATAGCACGTTCTAGGTTGCATACAGAACCCAATTCAAATAAATTCGGATGCGTCTAAATGAAAGCGCGTGGCTAACTTCGGACTTGAAATTTTGCAGCGAGACTCACCACCATGATCATCGAAACGAGGTGAATGTATATATACCTTTTATCACACGGAAGCAGAGGCATGAGAAACATGTCTGCCTCATCCCCATTAGTGGTGGCGAATCTGCCATCCACGCCATTCTGAATCCACTGCGCAAAGTAGCGCTCGGTCCAGTATCCGCTTTAATCGATGAGAACAGGGCTTGGTAAGATAGTTGCTAGGCTAGTGGCAGTTTTTTACCTGATACGCTATATGCTTTGTAGCAAAATAATAATAAATGGGACCACCACAAAATATAACACCTCGTGAAAGGTTGACCGAGACGATGATTGCTCAACTAAGAAACAATGCAAGACACGGAATTGAAGTGAAGAGGCTTGCCATACCGGTTATTCTTCACATCCGCACAGTTTTCTTTGCGCACCTACAATTGCAAGCGGAATGGAGTCAATGGGACGTTCGTACGAAAAACAGTTATATCGAGATTCTCCACTTAGGACAGCATGCTTTAGCCCTGTTGAGTATAAGGCACGGAAGAACTTGACAAAGTTTATTATCAGAAAAAAAAGATATAGAATGCCCGATGCATGGGGATTCGAGACATTTTCTCTTCTGATCTAGATAATTCGTTAGTAAGCACGCCAGGGTAGTAAATAGGAGCGCTCTGTGCTTAATATTATGTATAGGTTGGTTCGATGAGTTTGCACATGAGAACAAAGTACGATTAGGCAAATAAACTCATCGAAAACCAACAATACTCGACTAGTAATATATTGCAGCACATACCGTCAGAATGCCACCATGCTCCTGCAAAGGGTAGGTGAATATACTGAAGTTGTCGTTGATCATGTCTGTCATTCCCTGGCCTAATGCATTTATCTGAGCATCGAGTCTGGAGAAAAAAATATCCCCCGTGAATCGAAAGAATCAAGACAACACCCGTACGGCTTTATAGGGATAAATATACGAAGATTTGTGTATCCGAGTGCCTGATACAGTCCCTTACAGTCCCTTACAGTCCCTTACAGTCCCTTACAGTGTGAAATCAGCCACCGTCGACAGTGAGCAATGAAGCGACATTGTTTAACAAAAAAAAAGGTATACCTCTTTGACTCTTCTTCCATGGTTTGCATCTCATTCATATTGCACAGCGTCACTGGGTCACGTTCTTTATTCCTCCTCGTATCATTTGGCCGTACGAGGATTAGTGGCTCGCCAACTGTCAGCAAGCCAGCCACTTCCGGCACTTGCGTCGCATTAGAGAACACTCCAATGTTGGAGGTGGTGGTCATCTTCTCCTCCGCCGCCACGTGAGCACCTAATGAACACAGGTGTTTGAGGAATCGTGACCACAAGAACATGCTAAACAGAGCAAAGAATATACACAAGAAAATAGCTACGTCAAAAAGTAAATAGGGAATTCATGTCTGAAAACGCATGTAGTTTGTGCGAGAATCACGTACTTAAATATTGCCATTCATCAGTGGATTTGTAAAAGTAATTGTCATAGCGATAAGCTATTTCGTTGACTCAACCAACCTTGAAGCCCATGCCTAACTTTCGATATTCTAATGCCAAGGAAACTCTCACTGGAATATTTCTTTTTGAAAATGCGCAGCATTCAAGAAATCAACCCATGAAAACGGTCACGCACATACAAGAAACAAAACAGGCACATACAAAAATACACACATACACAGACAGAGAACAGACAGGGACAGAGACAGAGACACAGACAAGCACACACACACACATATATCTATACATCTATATATCTATATATCTATGTATACCTATAAAACACACAAACACACACACACACACATATATATACATACATACATATATATATATATATATGTACATACACACCCACGCATATATATGTATGT